AACTAGAACTCACCATCTCCTGGTGATTGACCCCAAATCACCCAGCCAGCTTTCATGGTGTAAGCGGAACTAGAACTCACCATCTCCTGGTGATTGACCCCAAATCACCCGGCCAGCTTCCATTTTCTAGCCTGGTGCCTTAACCACTAGACTAGACCAAACTGGCTCTCATATATATATGGGGGAATGGGAATTAAATGGAAATTAAAGAGGAGGGCAAGCTAAGGAACTTGTGAGTGTATGCAGTCTGAAAGATATACCCACTTAAGTTTCTCCCATCCATCCCCATCCTCCTTTTAATTCTTTTTCTGGTTAATAATTAGGGAGAAAAACCAGCCTGAGATTATCTGGTATTCATTGCACATTTAAAGACTTGAAATGTATTTCTTAAAAACGTTTAGTTGTAAAATGCTACACAGTACCTCTACGGCAGTGCTTCTCTATGGCTGGCTGTGGAATTCTGGGAGTTGAAGTCCATACATCTTAAAAGTTGCCAAGGTTGCGAAACACTGCTCTATTGGTTGTGGACAGATTCCTCAAAGTATACAAAAACCCAGGTCAGCATTTAACCTAGGGTTGCTGAGGCTGCAACAGAAGTTTTTCTTTACTTTTCAGACTCCGTAGTTTGTCCATCTAAAGATCCAGAACGTCCACTTTTATAGCATTAGGTTTTTACCTGCACACAAGAGGGTGTTGTGTTCCAATAGCCAGATTTCCTGACATGGTGTTAGATGGGTAGCTGTGCGTAAGCACCAATGTCATTAATTACTTCCTTTCACCCAAGCAAACAAAAGAATCAATTATTGTTTTCCACCTTCCATTGGTTCTAGATTGTGGTACTCTGGGTAGGCACCAATAACCACGGACACACTGCGGAACAGGTGGCTGCTGGTATAGAATCCATTGTGCGTGTCATCAATCAGCAACAACCCCAAGCTCGTGTGGTTGTATTGGTGAGTTCCAAGCCCGACTCCATTTGATAAAAATGCCTTTAAAAAATGCCATCCTCTCGACCGGGTTGGTTCCCCTGGTGCCCCATAACATTAAGCCAGAATCATATTGGCCAAAGAAACTAGAATGGTATGGCTTGCAATAGATGGCTATCTTCATATTTATGAAACTTATGGCTGTAATTGAGCCTGGTATTCTGGTTTGAAGCCATGGCCGCCATTAAGTGGGTCACCATGCCAGAGTTTATGACTTTTGCAGTGGTCATAAAACAAACACCACAGTCGTTAAATTAAGCTATTTTCTTCCATGAGTGCAAATATTTTTTGATGGAAACTGGAATTAAATGCTAGAAACTGGCAAAAAAATTTGCCAAAAATTGCAGTCACATGACCACGGGTGCTGCAAATGGAAGCCAGTTACCAAAGTGCCCAAATTTTGATCACATGACGCTATGTGTGTGTTCATCAGAACTGCAAAATCAGTTTTTTAAAGTAGTCCTGGGGAGATGTGTCGGAACTTCTAACAGTCATTAAGTGAAGACTATGTGTACTAAAGGGGGATGCGGTAGCTCAGCGGCCAAGACGCTGAGCTTGTCGATCAGAAAGGTCGGCATTTTGGCGGCTCAAATCCCTAGCGCCGCGTAACAGAGTGAGTTCCCATTCCTTGTCCCAGCTTCTGCCAACCTAGCAGTTCGAAAGCATGTAAAAATGCAAGTAGAAAAATAGGGACCCACTTTGGTGGGAAGGCAACAGCGTTCCGTGCGCCTTCAAAGGCGTGTAGTCATGCCGGCCACATGACCACGGAGACGTCTTTGGACAGTGCTGGCTCTTCGGCTTTGTAACGGAGATGAGCACCGACCCCAAGAGCCAGAAACGGCTGGCACGTATGTGCGAGGGGAACCTTTAACTTTATGTGTACTAAACAAAGACTGGCGTCCCAGGTCATTGAGTCCAGCTGATGGCTCGTTCACACATCTGCATCAACTTAGAAACAAACCCCTTTGGGACTTAAGATTGCGGTCTTTTCTGTATCCTGCCCAGGGTTTGCTGCCAAGGGGCAAAACCCCCAACCCGTTACGAGAGAAGAACAGGAGAGTGAACGAACTGCTGGAGAGTAAGGTGCCACTGCTCCCCAATTCCTCCTTCCTCAATGTCGACCCAGGCTTTGTGCATTCAGACGGGACTATAAGCCACCATGACATGTATGACTACCTGCACCTGACCCGCAACGGGTATGCCAGAGTCTGCCCTGGACTGCACCGCTTGCTGCTCTGCCTGCTGGGAGAATGCCATGCTCAAACACCTTGATGGAAGCCATCACACACCCGAGATGCTCGCCGTTGGTTTGAGTGACTGCCGGAGGCTTAGAAACTTAGATTGCTGTTGACTCCAGATTGGCTGTTCTCAACCATGACAACTGTAAGTGGACTTCAATTCCCAGAATTCCCCGGTCAGCTGTGCTGGCTGGGGAATTCTGGGAGTTGAAGTCCACCTGTCTTAAAATCCCCCACATTGGTAAACACTGCCCTCATCCCTGAAATATGTCACTGCCTTTCTCTGTTGCACTGTCTGGTCGAGACACTGGCGTTTGGGGTAGGGTGGGGAAATATTTGGGCCTTTCTTTTTTTTTTAATAATTAGAGACCTTTTAATGGTGTTGCAGCCTAGAACGGAGTGAAGCTGGGAGCTATGGCACACAACGGTGGAGAAAAGTAGGTTAGGAGAAGGGGCCTCCCCTAGGCCCGGTGGGTTTTCCCCAAAAATAATTTTTTTAATTTAAAAAAAAAAAGCAAAGAAAGTTGGAAACTTTAAGAGCTTTGCCTTGAATGGCAGCTGGAATATATATTCCTTTCTCTCTGCTTCTCTGAGGTGGTTGGACTTCCATGCCCAGCAACAGCCAGAGCTTCTGGGAAATGTAGTTCATCAACACCCAGTTAGGAAGGGCGAAGTCTTGCTATCAATTGCCCCATGTTTAAAAAAAAGGCCACTTTGCAATTTTGGCTTCTTCTCTTCGCCCCGACTGCAAATTCCAGGGTTGCTTCACTTAAAATATAAAATGGCAACCTTTCCATCCTTCTTCTTGATGCCAGTTTTGGGAAATGTGCTTATTTGGCCACTGCTTGTTGGATTTTTTATTTTATTTTTCCATCAACTGGGGGAGAGAGGGGGATTAAGTGGCCTTTCAAATAATTTTTTTCAGCCCCCTTGGTAGGGATTTCTCTACAGAACAAGACAGAGGAAGCTTGCATATGGAGGTTCGTAGGTCAGTCCAGGTCATGGGTTGTCCCTAGTGGTGCTTTTTCAAAAGGCAACTGGACTTTCTTTGTTTTTCCTTGAAGAGGTTTCGCTTCTCATCCAAGAAGCTTCCTCACTTCTGACTTCAGTCCTTCCGTCAGAATGGAAGAAGCTTCTTGAATGAGAAGCGAAACCTCTTCAAGGGGAAAAAAAAAACCAAAGTCCTTTCGAGAAAGCAGGTTTGGGAGATCCAATCAGTTGGCAACCTGGAGGAACAAAACAGTTGGCAACCCAAGGAGTCCTTCCATCCTCTGGGCCGCCTCTTCCTACCCGCTGCCTCCGGTGCCATGGCTCCTGGGTCTCCATTCGGATGTTTCTACTTTCTACAGCCTTTGCCAGGTTATGCTGTACGTTAGCCATTAAAAAAAAGTATAAAAAAAAAAGATTATAACCTCTGTTTGACTCTTGAATCTTGGTGTGTCTCTGCGGGATTCGTCTCGTACGTCGGATGCAACTCAGAACTGCTAAATGACCCGATCCAACCCCTTGTCAGAGCTCACAAAAGAAAATGATTTTGAGGCTGCTCTTCCTGCCAATCTCGGAAGGAAACTTCAGCGGAGAGCAATAAAAGCCGTTTATATTTCCTTTTCTCATTGTTTCTACTTCCCCCAAAACAAAACGGCCTGCGCAATCGTACAGGTAAACCGTTCCTTTAGTTTACGACGGTCCTGAAAAAAAAGGGACTTAGTAGGACTGAAGTTTTTTCACACTTAATGACCGTTGCAGCCTCCCTCACAGTCATGCGATCAGAATTCGGACGCTTTGGCAACTGGCTCATATTTATGACGGTTGCAATGTCCTGGGGCCGTGTGAGTTTTACGACCTCCTGACAAAGCAAAATTAATGGGAAAGCCAGAATCGCTTGACAACGGTGTTCCTAATTTAAGAACTGCAGCCATTCGGCAAGAAAGGCCGTAAAACCGAGCCAAAACTCACTTAAACAACTCCGTGGCTTAGCTGCAGAAATTTTGGACTCGATTTTGGTCGTAAGTTGAGGACTGCCTGTAGGTAAGTGGCTTTGTGCCTTGCAGAGCATTTTTCGATGTTCCTGGCTTTTTAAAAGTTTCTGGGTGTTACCGTAAAAGAGGACCTGACCTGAGGGGGCTCATCTTGCAGCCCTGGTCCAAAAGGGCCCAGCAGAGATTATACTATCTGAGACCTCTCAGGAAACAACAACTGAATGAAAAACTGCTGGTGACCTTCTACCGCTGCACCATAGAGAGCATTTTAACATACTGCGTCTCTGTCTGGTTTGCCAATTGCACAGGGGCAGATAGGACAGCGCTCCAGAGGGTTAATGTCATTGCCCAGAGGATCATTGGCTGCCCTCTCCCCTCTTTGGAAGAGCTTTATAGCTCCCGCTGCCTTAAGAAAGTTCAAAACATTCTCAAAGATCCATCTCATCCTGGGCTCCCCCTTTTTTTGAACTATTACCATCTGGCAGACCGGTACAGAATAATAAAAACAAGGACAAATAGGCTGAAAAACAGCTTCTATCCCAGGGCAGTAACTGTGTTGAATCCTGCTTTATAGGGCAATATTAATGCAATATCAGGGGTTTTCAATTCAGTGCGTGGAGTATGAAGGATGCGTGTTTGTGTTTATTTTCATGGTCATGATGTGCACTGAAGATTAATTTTAATTTCATTGTACGAGGTGCAACGGCAAACTAAACTAAAACTCTTTTCTTTGGAGAACGCAAGTCAAGCATGACAGGATCAGAGCTTGGATTGGGGTGCATCCATGCCGAACCGCTCATCTTTACGGGCTTGGCTTCAAAAGATTCAGAAGGGAAGGCCGACCATCCCTGCTCTGCAGGTTCCTGGGGAGTGTTTTTAATTTTTCCAACGGATTTCACGCGCGGTCCGCAGGGATTCGGCTTTGTTGCTTGCCCTGGCTAATTAGAGAGAGTTCCTTCCTGCCCTCTTTTTGTCATCGCCTCCGTTTTTCGTTTCCCCCCTCTGAACCACCCCTTTGAGTTTGCTTCCAAAGTCCCCTGAATTCCTGGCCAAGGAATACCTCGAATTTCCCCTCCGGGATCGACTTCTTAAGAGGGATGCCAGCTTTTTGGGCTTGGCTCCTGGGATGTGACCTTCCCCTCCAAGCAGCGATGGTTCTTTTCCTTTGGCAAGATTGCAAACGTGCAAATCATTGTGGAAACACAGGTTGGGTTGTTGGCGGAGGTTCTTAATCATCCAGGTCGTTGTCCCAAAGGTGCTTTTTATTTTTATTTTATTCTTTTGTCTCTTCTTTTCTTCAAAAGGCAAACTGGACTCTCTCGGTTAGTGAACCAAGCAAGAAAGTCCCGTTGCCTTTTTAAAATTAAGATAAAATAAAAGCACTTTGGGGACACAAGTTGCGTTAACACTAAAAGCTGCCGGGGTGGCCTAGACCAGGGATCTCCAAACGTGACAACTTGAAGACTTGTTGGACTTCAACTCCCAGGATTCTGAATCCAAGGTTCTGCATTGTGAATATTCAGAACCAAGGCCAAACATATCTTAAGAAATGTTTTTTTTTTTTTAAAGGATACTTCTTATCTTGCTTTGCAGGGTTGTGCCTGGGATTTTTCCACCTTGGCAACTTTTAAGATGCGTGGACTTCAAACTCCCAGAATTCCCCAGCCAACCAAGTTGGCTGGGGAATTCTGGGAGTTGAAGTCCACCTATCTTAAACTTATCACAGTTGTGCCTTAGATCAGGAGTCTCCAACCTTGGCAACTTTAAGACTTGTAGACTTCAATTCCCAGAGTTCCTCAGCCAGCTTTTACTCAGCAAAGCTGGCTGGGGAATTCTGGGAGTTGAAGTCCACCTATCTTAAACTTATCACAGTTGTGCCTTAGAATATTTTCACTCAGGCAATTATCCTAAATTGATGCACTTGGAAGTTAGGCATGCAAAAGGACCCCTTGATCCTCCGAAGTTTTAAAACCACATTCTTATTTTCGCTTTTTTAAAGCTTCCCAACTTCCCGAGTGACTTTTTGGGTGTGTGGATCTATCCATGCTGCCATCCTGCTTGATTTTCCTGGGAGCAGCTGCCATTCCTAATTTTTTTTTTCTTAAGTTCTCATTTTCCTCTGGCAATTTGGGTTTTCTCATTCCAGACCAGAGGTCCCCAAACTTAGCCACTTTAAGACTTGTGGACTTCAACTCCCAGAATTCTCCAGTTAGCTGACTGGAGAATTCTGGGAGTTGAAGTCCACAAATCTTAAAGTGGCCAAGGTTGGAGACCTCTGGCCTATGCAGTTGTTTTCCAGCTAGTTCTCAACTTATGACCCAAATGGAGCCCCAGATTGATGTGGCTAAATGAGAAATGTGCAAAGTGAGTTATGTCCCATTTTACAAATTTTCTTGCCACCTTCGTTAAATGTAACCACTGCAGGTTCTTAATGGCGTCGTTAAGTGAATCTGCCTTCCCCGTTGGCTTTGCTTGCCCGAAGGTCGCAAAAGGGGACGCTGCAACCATCATAAACACGAGTCAGTTGCCAAGCGCCTGAATTCTGATCCTGTACCCGCGGAAATGCTACAGTGGTTGTAAGTGTGAAAGGATGGCTATAAGTCGCTTTTTTCAGTGCCGTTGTAACTTTGAACGGTCACTAAATGAACGAGGACTGCCTATATAATTTTCTTGCATTTTTTCCCAAGCAACTGCTACATCCTTTGATGCGACTTCAAGGGGCTTCTCAACTCACTGCCTGCTGCAAAATTAAATACACGAACTTTTAAAAGCAGTCGGTGGTTTTCCGAACCTTTTGCAGTGTTTTCACACCCAGGTTTTATGCATGCTAACCCCACAATTTTGGCAACTCCAGCGCAGATCTTTTTGCAAATGCGCAACACTTCTCCGCATATTGTTTCAAAATAGATTTTGGATGCTTTCCCCTCCCCCCCTTACTCAGCACAGCTGGGTCTGAAATGAGCCAGAGCTGACAAGAAAATTAGAATATTATCTCGCTGCCAAGCCGTAAATCTGTCAAACCCAGGCCTGCTACTGTATTCTGATTTACCAACTGGGCAAGGATCCCGCTAGCAAAGGACTCGGGTAAGCCTGTGGCCTTGTTAAATATGTAGGTTTGGTGTCGGGGGAAATGGCTTGATGCTTTCCCCAGCTGGTAAGTGAATCCCCTCCAGCTTTTTAGCTCCTTGTGGACCGTGGGACCACCTGAGACCAGGAATGTTCTGGAGAAGTCGATGAAAGAAGGCAGGGGCACGTCTTGAAGATGTCCCACGCCCCCCTCCCCAAAAAGATTTAATGCTGCAGTCTGTCTGGACCCTGCCCCCTTGTCTACCATAGATCAGTGTATTTCAAACATAGCCACTTTTAAGAAATGTGGAAAACAACTCCCAGAATTGCCCAGCCAGCTCTGAATTCCACACATTAAGGAAGTTGTTCTGCTGGTTGGGGAATTTCTGGGAATTGAAGTCCACACATTAAATTGTTCTGCTGGCTGGGGAATTTTGGGAGTTAAAGTCCACTCACCTTAAAAGTTGTTCTGCTGGTTGGGGAATTCTGGGAGTTAAAGTCCACACATTAACTAAGTTGTTCTTCTGTTGGCTGGGGAATTCTGGGAGTTAAAGTCCACACATTGTTATTCTGCTGGCTGGGGAATTCTGGGAGTTAAAGTCCACACATTGTTGTTCTGCTGGCTGGGGAATTCTGGGAGTTAAAGTCCACACATTGTTGTTCTGCTGGCTGGGGAATTCTGGGAGTTAAAGTCCACACATTAACTAAGTTGTTCTTCTGTTGGCTGGGGAATTCTGGGAGTTAAAGTCCACACATTGTTGTTCTGCTGGCTGGGGAATTCTGGGAGTTAAAGTCCACTCATTAACTAAGTTGTTCTTCTGTTGGCTGGGGAATTCTGGGAGTTAA